AGTGGGTCGCCATGCTGCTGGCACCCAGTGCAGGAAGGGCCACCCAGCATCACCTTGTCCTGATGATCATTAACTGTCATACGTGGGGTCCGTCCAGGGCCCTGAAGGGATGGCCACTGAGGCGGGCTGCGAGCATCAGTGCGTTGCACGTGGAAGGGAAACTGAGACCTGGAGGGGCCAAGACTGGCTCCCAAGAGCTGGGCCCCCCACTGTCACTCACCTGCCTCCCTCCAGCCCAGGGAATACACGAGTCTGTCTGTGTGACAGAGGGGTGACAGCTTCCCCAAGCCACGAGGCTGGGCCCCCAAAGATGGTGTCAGGGAGGGAAGGGGCTGTGACGCGAGGGCGCCCCAAAGCCTCAGGGCCTGTGCAGTGGGGTCCCCTGTGGAGACCGAGTGAAAGGCAGGAGGGCCAGCCACACCCGCGCCCGCCCGGGGCTCTGGGAACGTGGCCGTGGCCGGCAAGGGGGAGCCGGGTCCTCAGAAAGAGGGCAGGCCCTTGGGCGCTGGCTTGTTTTGTTTTTAAGAGAGAAAGGGATGGAGACAGAGAGACCGTCAAACATTTAGGGACCTGAGAGACAGAGAGGGACCCCCTGAGCAAGAGCAGAGAAAGAGACGCACAGAGACAGAGACACAGGGGCAGAGGGAGGACCCTCACCCACAGGCGGGAGAGCAGGGGGGAGCAGGGAGGCCGCGAGGCCGCGTCTCCGCTCAGACCTGCGCCGCATCCCCGAGCTCAGGCCGGGGGCTGGGGGGCTCCCACTGGCCTGGGGTCCCAGCCAGGGCACAGCGCCCTCAGAGGGGCCCAGGGAGGTGCCCGGCGTGGCCGCGCTGGCCCTGTCTCCCGTGGGGGGCCCACCACCAGTGCCCACCCTGCCCGAGAGGGCTCGGCCGCCACCGCCGCCAGGCCCCCCATTTATGGTAATCGTATATGCATTTGCATGTTAATGACAATATTTGTCTTAAAGCGGAGGTTGTGAGGGGGGCCGCCGCAGGTGGGGGGGCCGGGTGGAGGCCTGTGGTTTCCATGGGAGCACCAGCTGCTCGGCTCCGCGGCAGGAGGGGAGGCTGGAGCACGCTGAGCTCTGAGGCGTGAGATTCGGGAGGGAGCGGGCGCGCCAGCCCGGGGACGGAGGACTGCCTGGCGGGGGCGCCCAGGGAGAAGTCGGCGGGCTGAGAGCGGCGCGTGGGGGTGCTGGGGCCTGACGCTGCACTAGGCATGCACCCCCTCCCCCGTGCCTCGGTTTCCCCAGCTGCCCATTGTTCCCTGATTTAACAGGCTTTGGGGAGGCCCACCGGGCCTTGCGGCCTGTGACGGTGGCATCACTGCCATCTTCTGTCACGCAGAGAGCGTTGACTGAGCGCCTACTGTGTGCAATGTCTGTGGGGATGTGGGCATCCACGTGGGCGGCCGTCAGTGCGGGATTCACGATGGAGTGAACAAGACCTGAATCCATCTACCCGTATAACCTGCATAACCAACATTTACTGAGCACTCGCTGTGCACCAGGCCCTGTTCTAGACCAAGGACACGATGTTGGGCAACACAGATAAAAATCACCTCCAAGACCTGACCTGCCTTCAAATCCCAGCCTGGTGGGAGGACACAGCGAGGAACCAGGAGGCAAAAGGCATTGATGTGAGGGCCGTGACGGTAGAAAACACGCGCCTCCGGGGTCAGCCCAGAGGAGCCCCTGCCCCTGCAGGTGTGGAGACCAGGAGGGCTTCCTGGAGGAGGTGGTTGGTCAGTATGAGAGCAATTCCGAGCTTGGCCTTGAGATGAGTCTGGTTTCTCCGTATCTTACTGGCAGACGGTGTGGTCCCCTATGGGATCGGGAGACCAGGGGGGCTTTCTATCTCAGAAATAAGATGAGGACCATTCTGGCACAGGGCTGGGCTCATGATGTGTGACCAAGCCGAGGCCTGCAGGGTGAGAAGGATCTGTCGACGGGGACAGGCGTTCCTGGCACAGGGAACAGCATGTGCAAAGGCCAGAGCAGTGCTAACTCTGGAAACTTCTGCGGTGGGAGGTGGTGGAGGTTTTGCCCTGGCGGGAAAGGAGCAAAGGGTCTTGGGAGCCCCAGCATCCCCTTCTGATGTGGGACTTACCTGGCAGGGCTCTTCTGAGGGGCTCTGGCCTCGGGGGTGGGCCTGGGAGCTGTGTCTGGCCCGTGTCTCTCTCATTCATCCCGGACATTGGCTGATGAGAACCTGGCCGTTAGGAATCTGAGGGGGAACCATACTCCCTCAGCCATTCATTCATTCATTCATTCAGCCGACACTTCCTGAAAGCCTCTGGAGCCTCGTCTCGTACAGGGTGAGAGAAGTATGAAGGCTCTCCGATGGCAAGACAGAGCCAGCCATAGCACCTAGGCCCGGGTCAGGCCCGGGTCAGAGGGAGGGATGCAGAGTTGAGGGAACAGGACAGGGGATCCAGCTGCACAGAGGAGGGGCTTTAGAACAGGAGCTTTGAAAGAGGATGAAGAGCTTGCCTGGTGGAG